ATACATGGCAGGTCGAATATTCCAAATTTGAGGTTCACATACTCCTAATGTTAAATCAAAATTTCTAGCCACTCATTCATATTAGCTAAGATCCATAAATTATTTTACAAAAAAATTACATGTTGGTCCAAAATAAGAGGCTTATTTATAATAAATAAGTCATATGGATTTGCTAAAATACGATAATGTTAAAGTAAGACCCATCATCAATTATCAGCTTCATCAATATCAACCTTGCATGAGTTACATGCAAGCTCCCTAGGTAAACTAGGTGCACATCATTTATAGTCTGTCCAATAAAAATATAGCATTTAGATGGCATTAAATATAAATTGATTCCAATATTAATGATAGTTGACAGAAAAAAGGTAAAAAATTAAATGTGTATACTGTTATAAAAATAAAATTAATTTAAAAAATATCACATAAGATTTTATTTAGATTAGTTAAAGCATTTTAATTGAATAAACTACAAATAACGTAGTGTATCTGATTTATCTAAATATTTCTCCCAAATTAATGATAAAGTGGCTATGTTTTCAAAATTTTCGGGCTTCATATTTATTAGTCAAGATCTCGATCCATTAGTTACTTTTTTAAAAACTTACAAATAAGTCATAATGTACATTTGTTACAATGCTGTAATGCTAAGGTAGGACGCAAATCAGCTTGATTCATATCATCATGCATGAGTCAAATACAATAAATGTGGCGTCAACAGATACATGGCTGCCAAATATCATTCGGAATTTGAGGCCACATGTCAATGGGGTGTCATATATTCTAAATTTGTGGTCCAAATGTCAAAATTTCCGGCCATTCATACTTACCAGCCAAGTCTTTTTCACATGTCAATGTTGTTTTTGGAAAATATTATGAATAGGTTTTCAATAAGAGAGTTATTTACAAAAAAAATTCTAAAATTTCTTAAAATATGGTGAGTTCCAAAATCCTTGAGTGTCATTTTTACTTGTGAAAAAGACTAACGTTAAGATAGAGATTTATTATGTTAATATATATTATCTATTAAGATTTATTTTGTCAAGAGAGAATATTTTGCATGTATTAGATATTATTATGATATTCATTAATTATTATTATTATGTTCATATATATATATATATATATATTGTAAGCCCTTCATATCAATAAATAACAACACTTTTCCCAATCTCCTTCATTTCTCTCTTGGCTTCTTTCATGGTATCACTACAGCATTTTTTTTTTTTTGCTTTTGACGACACTTCACTTTGCAACAGTTCTAAAAGTGTTGCCTAATATGTAAATAAGCAACATTTTTTAAACATTGCAATTGATTACTATACTTCTATATTAGAGCCCTAGATCTCTTTTTCCAAGTTATAAATATTTTTGTGCCATCCTTGAAGCTTCTCTTTTCTCCTTCACCTCCCTACACTTTGTCTCTAATTTGCATCTCATCTCTATCCTTTATCGTGTATTTAATTTCTCTAAATTTCTCTACTTCTATTTCTCTAGTATGGAGAAGTCAAATGTTACTTAGCATGTACTATCTACTAGTAATGAGGCACTTGCTACTCCTGGCTCTACTTCAGGATCCTCTACTATTGACCTTGAAGCTTTACTCTACAAACTCGTTTTCAATACCTCTAGCACAATTGCTGCCTTAGCCATTCAATCAAATACATCTTCTAGTGCACCTATTGCATTGGCTGCTTCATCAAGTACATGCTCTTTGCAAGATTAGGCAACAACACCCAAGAAGGGTGAATTAAGTTTTGTAAAATTTTTTGTTTTCATAAACTTCTCACAATTTCAAGCATAGTTGATGATACAACTTGAAGTTTCAACACAATAAATTAGAGTGAAACTTAAATATTTCAATTGCAATGTTATCCAAAATGCTTAATTAACAGCATAATTGATGAATACAAGTGTTAAATCAAATGCAAATTAGTAAATACTGTTTTGAAACATATTTGCAAAAATGCTTTCAAGGTTAATGATAAACTCTATTTTGCACACTTTAAAACTTTTGTAAAATATAAAATCTTTAATATAAAGTTAGATATATAAATATTGCACAGTCAATTAATCCTTGTTCAACCAACCACTTAGCTTACATCTAGTCCCTAAGTACAATTCACAAGCCTTCATAGGCACTTATAGGCTGTTTACAAGGTCTCTTATATATTATACTAGTAAGTCTTCTCAATTCCTCACTTCAAGATAGTGAGCACTTTCTTAATACACCAAGAAAATCCTTCCTTGAATCTCTTTAATGACAAAGATTATATTTTCCTATCAAGTTCTCTTTCAAAGAGATAACTATGAAACTCTTAGGCACACTTAGAAACTCTCTCAAAGAGAAGATATGACAATGTTAGAACTAGCTTGAGAGATTTTTACATGAACAAAGTGAAAATTGAAAGTTTTATGCAAACTATATGTGTTCAGTCTATCTAAGCATTATCCATTAACTCAAATGGGGTCTTATTTATAGATTTTCATGGTTTAAGATCATTGAAACCCATAAAGTACAAAATATATAGCTATTATACACATGTAAAAGTGATTTATGACAAATAAAGCACTTTTCCCATGAAGTGTATTAAATGTTGTCAGAACTCTTATTCACATGTGGACAAAAGTGATCTAAACATGGATGAATTATCTTCATTTTAGCTCACTTATCACTTTATATTGATCCAAGTATGGACCAATCAGGGTTCAAATGTATATAATGTGTATGAAGCACTAAGCTTTTCTATAAGTCTAAACATGAGCGGGTAATTTGTGTACTAAGAGTGAATGAGTATAGAGAGGTACCTTGTGTAACATCTTAGTTTTCTAATCTTAAACTAGTTGCTAATTAAGGGTGAACTAGTAATTAGTGAGTGATTAAGATTTTGGATGACAAATTGAAGTTTTGACTCATTGGGATGTTCAATGGACTAATATGGGTGAAAGAATCATGTCTTTAAATGAAGTATGTGAGCACGGGGCATGGCACAGAATTTAGCTAATAAGTGCGTGAGTCAACTCATGAATTTGGAGAGAAACAAAAGAAAAGAACGAAAGTAGAAGAGAATAGAGAAAGGGTCAACAAGGGTAAGAGAATTTGGTAACTTGGAAGCCATTTTTGACTGGTAACTTATCGAGTAAGTTTTGTACAACCCTTACCTTCGATTCTACTATAATTTCTCTTAGTATAAGTTATAGAGAAATTGAATTGAGAAAATTTGAGAGGTTAGTTTCTTACACTATAGTAATGAAAAGGTTCTCAGGAGTTAAATTAAAGCTTTGTCACTGGTTTGGAGTTGAATGATAAAACTTTGAAGTTGCATGCTTAAATTTAGCTCTAAATCAGTGATAAAAAGAGTGGAAACAGGGTAGTTAAAAGTGATAGAAAGTGACAATTATGTAGTAATAAACCTTGAGTGGCTGAGTGAAAAAGAATGAATGGCTAGATATATCCTTTAGTAACAATTAAGTATTTTTGGTCAATTGCATTAATTGATTGATTATACTAATTGCATGAAGATTGGCATATTCTATGCATAAATTGAGAAAGGGAGATTTTAGAGATGCTTTAATGATTATGAAAGTATACGAGTAACCTTTTTTATGACAGAAAGATTGAGGTAATTAAGCGACTTTCTCTAGTTGATTATCTACTGTAACTGTTTGAAAGTATAAATATTATTGCATGAAAATGTTTTAGAATAAGAATATTTGCTAAATGAGTATTATTGCATGAAACTAATTTTTAAAGACTAGAGTTTATGAATTTACATGGTTTCTGTGGTTTATACAAAAGCATGGTCATAGGGGTGGGAGCTCATCCGTGTGGAGATGTAGTAAAAGACCATATGTCATTATTTTCCTTAGTACTTGATGAGGTGCGGTGTTGGAGATTTAGACTCCTTAGTATCAATGTGATGTGGAGTTAAAGTCAATGACACCCTATTGTGTGTAATGGGGGAAACTATAATCTAAAAATGAGATAAAGTATCTTTAGCTGAATAATTCTACCAGTGAAGATGAGCTAAAGGCCAATGAATGTGTGCATTAGTCTATGGCGAGCCTATGGTTTAAGGTCAAGATAATTTGGAGGATTGGATGGTAGTGATCATGCTATATGCTATATTAGTGGTGAATTATTGTGAAATGACATGTGAAAATAGTGATTAGTAGTGAAATAATATGTTGCTATGATTTGAGGTGAAATTCATATTTTATACTATGTTTTAAAATTATATTATGCAATACTTGCTTAGAGTTGCATGTAATAATTGATACACTACTACAAAAAAGAGAATAAATGACAATTATTTTAGTCCATAAATGACGTTAATAAGTGTCATTTATTTAGTTGATATTTAAAGACCCCCAATAAATGATGGTTATAAAATCGTCATTTAAAATAAAATTTTTACAAAAGGAGAAGCAAAATGAGAATTTAAATGATGGGTAAATTATATACCCGTCATTTAAAGAGACTTTAAATGACGGGTATATAATATACTCATCATTTATACTGACTTTAAAGTATGGTAATAATTATGACCATACTTTAAATGACCGGTAAATTATATACCCGTCATTTAAAGTCAGTATAAATGACGGGTATATAATGAGATACCTATCATTTAAAGTCAGTATAAATGACGGGCATATTTTTTACCCGTCATTTATTTCAGTATAAATGACAGTTATTTATATAACCATCATTTTTTATGTGGTTTTTTTTATTCATGAGCTGTTTTTATACCAGCCCCTTACAGAAAGAAATCAAAATAGCAGTAGCCAACCATTCTAGATTTGAATATCAACAAAATTTATTATATTCAATTTCAAAATTAATCAATAAACAAATGTGATTACATAAAGTAAACTTTTTTCAAAAATAAACGACTTATTAAAAAAAACTTCCTAGCTACTTCTTCAAGGTAGTTCTATTAATCTTCTTTCTATGAGGTCCACACTTGAAAAATATATTGACATCATTCTTCAATTACCTCATTTATTTCTGCATCCCCGAATTCTTCAACATAAGAATCATTATAATACTGCAATGTATAAATGATTCAACATATATTAATATAATTTTAATACATTAAATATTTTTGGAATTTAAAAGTTAATATTTTTGACATATCATCTCGGGAATTATGCTCTCGTTATGGATAATAATGTCCTTCATGAACCTCATGATGTAATAGCCACAATCCAAGCTTATCTTTCTTTTGTCTTGGACACTAAAAATTAAAGAATATATGAATATGTATTAATGCATTAAATTTTAATTTAATAAATGATTCCAATTACCTTAATTATATTCCAAGTGTAGGCCACATCAAAATTTGTAAAGGACCTTGGAATTGATTGTTTTATGTTAGTGCGGTATAACACAATCGCCCTAATAAAACAATAAAAAATATGTTAGTATGAAATTTAAATAATTAAATAAATATGTAAAATATTTTATGCACTTATGTATTAATCAACTCCAATAAAATTTGTCTCCTCCTTGGTTCCCCTCCAACAGAATAGAGATAATATATCTTTGGAGTGTTGCCGAATGGTTCGGCAGTGATCAACATCCAATGGTCCTTAATAGTATTAACAAGTGTGGCAAAATTATAATTAATCCATTAAATTAAAAATAAAAAAAATTATTAAGATAAGTGAGAATTTCGTTACCCTTGACAGTACGGTATTATGAATAATGTTCCCTTGCGAGCCTTTGCTTTGAAATTTTTGCTTAATGCCTTTACTTGTTCTAAAATTTTGTCACTTTTAATTAAGGCATGTGCACCTACTTTATGAGGACTAGCAAAGATGAACTTCATAGATCGAAAGAGACAACAAATTTGTCATATAAGCACTTATTATAAATATAAGAAATGGATTAGTTTATATTTAAAATATTAACTATTCATATATAGAAAAAAATTACTGTATGTAAAAGCTAAGAACAGTGAGACTGGTCATATCATGTTGAAGCACTTCATCAACAACATCAAGTGAAAGCATATCATATCGGTCTTCGCTATATATACCAACATCGAATGGGATTTGCAGGACTAGAGGATTAGACTTATGTACCATTGAATATGCCTGGAGCAATTTTCTATGTTGGCTCGGCAATTGAGGCTCTTGTTCAGACACAGCTTCATGAGAGATTGCCTTTTTAGAGGAGAGCCTAGATCGGGGTATCATCTTTTTTTTTTGACTGTGCATCTTTACTAGTCTTTTTTGGACAAAACTACCCATCGCCTCTTCAACAATCCCTGCATCCTCAGTGGGAATAGGTAGTAGATAGTTCAAATCCTTCGGCACATCAATAGTAACACGTACATAGGATGCAGGGAGTGGCATATTATGTAACATGTCTCCCGAAAAATTGAACACCTGACCAATAGCAACCACATGACGATTTGGGCCATTTGCCAACAACTCATATAGGTTCTCACCCTATATTAATAAGTAATATATTATATTAAAGTTATAGGAAATAGAAATAGTGAAACATAAGTGAAATAAATTAATAATGTTTTACCTCAGGGAGATTTTTAATAGGCTGCATGACACTATAACTACCTTTCTCGCTAGGACTAATATGAAACTTTACCTCTTGCCTCTCCTTATCCTTTAGCAAAGCTTCAATCATGTCTCGTTTCCTAGATAGCTCCTCTTTCAGGGTGGCAATCTCAACCCTTGCACCTATATCCTCTGTTGACCTTGCTTTCTTCTGTGACCCGAATATTTGTTTTTCGAGATACCAAAGCCATATCCCCTAACTCGACCAAGGTGTTCGGGATTATCCAATGCCTTGCCCAAGACATCATCATCAGGCGTGCCACTTTTCTCAATCTTGGCCTATGCAATATATAGTAAGAAAATTAAATTAGTTGATTGAGTATAAAAAAAGTGTTACGTTAAGTTAATGTATTTACACACTTGTTAGCAAGCTCCTGAACACATTCATCAACAATGTTTCCTTCTTTATTGGTTTGACCTTCTATAAATAGTCTGTGACGTGAAACTGAGCTTGCCCTTGAACCCTCTTGCTCGATCTATGAATTTAAGTAAATTTAAATGTAAGTATAGTACATATATCCATGAAATAACTAAAATTATATAGTATAAATATTAACTTACCATTCGTTACTCAATTCCTACATATTCTATATGCCCCTTCTTGTAAGGGTATAGATCTTTCTCATGCAACTCATTCTTTTTGTGTCTCAACTCCTGTGCAAAACAGAAAGAATCATATCAATAAAATTAAATATATTGACAATAATAAAAAATTAATTCATCTCATTATTCTTACTTGAAATTGTCCCTCGAGACGTTAAGCAACAAATTTATCCCACTGTTCTTGTGAAACTAATGGCCTTATCAAGTCGGGGACCTCAGCACTAATGTTTCCTCTTGATTTTTTAATGTATTTTGCTCCCATAAAATATCAAAATGTTCACATTACCTTTCTAGCTTGTTAGATGATAAATTTCATCCGACTAGCATCAATTGTAAATGCTGACTATAAACAAAAACAATTAATTAGATTTTCAATCAAGTAATTTCAATTAATTACAATGATGTGAGTAAAGTATGTTACCTCTACTTGCTTCCAAATATAATTTTTAGTAGCTGGACTAACATCATTCTAGTGCCTAATTGTAATTGGCAAATTTGCTTTCACCACAATCCTTATGTAGCTGATAAATTTATTTCTATTGGTCGTGATAGCTTGACCTTTGAAATTCCATTCAACTTCATATTTCTGTCCAGCAATCCTTCTTCTATTCACTCGGTCATCAATGTCAATCTTCTAGTTATTTGATTGGCTTCTTGCTGAATTTGTTGGTCATTCATCTCAATGCTAGGATCAGCACTACTAGGTCCACTGAGACCAATACTCCTTTGAGAAGCCATTTACCTACAAAAGTAGAAAATCAAAATAAATAATAAATAAAAATATAAAAAAATAAAGCACATAATAAGTAATTTACAGGTTTAATGTAAATCACACATTACAAAACAAATATAGCACATAATAAATAACAATAAATTTTTAATCTTTTTCTTGTATGTTCCTTATCTTTGCTCTCCTTCTTTGCTTGAATGCTTCTACCTCTTTTATTTGAAATTCAAATACCTTCATTGTGATCATTTCTCATATAAAAGACTTTGTCCTCAACAAAGTAACTTTCAAATGATATCCTCATAAAAGGATCATCTTCAATTGTAAAATCATTCATATCTTCATTTATTTTACTACTTAATAAAACGATAGACCAATTTATTTTAGCCGGATCAGGAACAAAAAACACTTGGTGAGCTTGTGAAACCAAAATAAAAGGCTCATCTTTATAACCTTCTCTATTAAGATCTACTATTAAGAATCCCAAGTCATCAACTTTAAGACCATTTTTTGATCAACCCACTTACAACCAAAAATTAAAACTTAAAATTTGATGTAATCTAACTCCCAAATGTGCTTAATTACCCCAAAGTATGACGTTTTTGCTTACAAGGGATTTTTGTCTTTAGCACTAGATATATGCATTGCTTGGGCCATAAGAGTTGCACCATTATTTTGCATTATCCTCCGATCATCTTGCTCTTTGGTATAAAACGTGTACCCATTAATGAGATAGCTAGTGAAGGAAAGAACTTGTTTATTTGGACCTCTGGCCAACCATTTTAATTTTTCAAAAATTAAATCAGGATCGGCAATCAACTTCTCAAGAATTGTTGTTTCAACCAAGTTGTAAAAATCTTATTATACTTGTTTGCATACCAAATCTCCAATCTATTAGGGTTATCCCGCTTAAGTTCGGCCATGTGCATCTTTACATACTCCTCAACCTTGACAGAGTTGTGTAGTACATATAAATGTGCTTGTTCCCATTTGATAAGTTAGAGATTGTAACTACTTTATTACCTATAATTCCTTCTACATCAATTCTACTATCATGCCGAGAAGTCGGAAGACTAATATGGTTGACATTTGATAAGTACTTAGTATAAAATTCAACTGCCTCCTCACAAATGTATTGTTCAGCTATACAACCTTCGGGTCGACTTCGATTTTTCACATATCCTTTTAGTATCTTCATATAACACTCAAATAGATACATCCATCTCAAGAAAACTTGGCCACACATTTGTATCTCTCTAACTAGATGAATAGTGAGGTGCGCCATTATATCGAAGAATGTAGGTGGAAAATATATTTCAAGTTCACACAAGATTAACATATTTCGGGTTTGCAATCTTGGCAATTTTATTGGGTTAATCACTTTACTACATATAGACTTGAAGAAGAAACACAATTTTATAATTGTGGCTCAAACTGTATCAAGTAAAATAGAATGTATAGCCACTGGAATAAAATTTTTCATCAACACATAGTAATCATGCGACTTTAAATCCTTCAACTTTAAATCCTTCAATGACACAAGGCCCTTAATATTTGAAGAGTACCCCTCTGGAACTTTAACAGTAGCAAGCGACTCACAAAAAGTCTTCTTTTCTCTTCTAAATAATGTATGAGCTACTGCACAAAGAAATGTGCGACTTCCCTTCTCTTCTAGACAATGCACGAAATTTAAACTAAAAATTATTGAAATAAATGAGTCAAAATTCATAGAAAAATATAATCATCATAAATATCCCATTTTGATCACTAATTTTCATCTTAATAATCATCTTAAGGCAAAGCAAATCATCTACAATCATTCTCAAGTTAATAAAACACCAAACATTAGGAATTTTCAACACACCACAATATCAAAATGGGCAAAAAATGAGGAGATATTTAAACAACAAAAATCAACTAATAAAACAATCCATTATCTTAAATAAATAAATCCCATAATCTAGAAATCTAAGCATATTAGAAGAAAATGAAGAAAAACCATAGAAATCACAAACTCATGTACCTTAGAGAAGAGAGGATGAAACACAAAGAGGAAGCTAATGAGAGAGGAACCGAACGGTGTAGGAGGAGCACTTTCATGTCGGTGAGGGACTAAGGTGGTTGACGGCAACAATGGAGGCAGATTGAGAGATTTCTATCGATTTCGTGTAGAAGTAGAGAAGAGAGAAAACAGGGATAATGAACGGGCGGGAATGAAAAAGTGAACCTGAAAACTGAATAAAAACAAGAATAAATGATGGGTATTCATATACCCATCATTTATTTTAAAATATATGACGGGTGTTTTAACACCCGTCATATATAAGGAAGGCTTTAAATGACGATTGTTTTAAACAACCGTCATTTAAAGCAAAATTTTTTTATTTTTTTAAAAAAGAAAAATCAAATGTTGGCCACGAATATATGACGGGTGTTTGGCAAACCCGTCATATATAGTTCTGGACTTTAAATGACGGGTGTTTAAAACACACATCATTTAAAATTTTAAAATTTTAAAATTTTTTAATTTAAGAATCTAAAACGACGGGCACCAATATATGATGATTTTTTTATAACCGTCATATATTGTTTGAACTTTATATGACAGGTATTTAAAATAACCGTCATTTAAAGTTTAAATTTATTTTTTATTTTTTTCTTTCAGTAAATGAAATGTTGGGCTGAAATAAATGATGGAGTTTTTTAATACCCGTCATTTAAAGTCTAGTAATATATGATGATTTTTTTAACACCCATCATTTATTTTGTTACCATCACCCACCTATCTCATATATGACGTGTTTTTATTTGACCGTCATTTTTCATGGCATCTTATATTTATGTTTTTGTAGTAATGATAGTAGAGAGTTATTCTATCACCAAGATTATTATCTCATCCTATGGTTACATTTTTATATGTCAAAGTAGTTATCAAAGCAAGGGGAAAGATACAGAGCCAACTTAGTATTGATAAAGCTGTGCATCTCAAAATTTTGTGCAATAAACTTAAACTAGTATGAATGTTGTAAATACAAGTTGTCATAGGATTTGCATGCATGTTTTGAATCGTTATAAGTTGTGAAATGTTAAAATTGTTGAAAATGGTAGTGATTGTGTAAATCTTAGCTCTTATGTGTAAAATATGGTGAAATGAGTAACATGGACTAAGATTTGGTTGTGAATGTGTTGTGTATGTGGAGACATGTGATTAAGTAGAGAAATTGTGGTGAACATGGCTAAACTAGTGTTTTTTAAGTAAAGTTGTGTAATGTGGAAATGGGCTATTGAATGGCCAAATTTTGATTTGTATGTATGTATGATATATGATGTGGTCAATCAAGTATATTAGGTCTTTTTGGACATAGTTCAAGGCTTAAAATGGTCTAATGAGATAATGTGATATATTTAAGCGCTATGGTATGCTAAATTTTTACAAAAAGTAACTTTTTGCACCTAGGTGTCTAAGTTTTCATCAAACTATTAGATCATGTTCAAACATATCTCATTAGCTAGCTTATGAAATAAGTTTCATGAGGGCACTTGAATCACTTCGATTAGACGTCATATATGAAAACGGCACACACCGAAAGTTCCACTACAAAAAAATGACTTTTGGCATTGATAAAAAGTTGCCGCTAAAATAAAAGTTGCCTTTAAAGGTTTTTAGTGGTGAATTTTCACTGTCAAAGGGTTGCCACCAAAAGTCTTGTTACTAATAGTTTTTGACAGCCATATAATGACCCTAAATTTTAAATTAATTTTATAGCAAGTGGAGAGTTGTTAATTGTTGAAACTCTTGCTAGCAATTTTTTTGAAGATCCAGAGTTCAAATTTTACTAAACAAAGGTTCAATTTTATTTTGTTTAAATTATTGAAAAAAATTTGTTCCATTTCTTGTAATTTTTATTGCATCATTTCTTGTAAGTTTCCTTGTGCTTTTTATTGTAAT